CCTCCAGCCTAATCGATCCGGCCGCGGCGGCGGCGCTGCGGGGGGCGGGGCTGCTCCATCCTCCGCGGAGGTGGCTGCAAATCTCGTCGCCCTGGAAACCGAAATAATCATTGGAAGTCAGCTCATGGCAACTCCGCTCACGCGCGTGGGTGCCACGACTATCAGACAAGCCGATTTACACACTGTCCTTCTAAAACTCATGCACCGTAAACGTGAAAGCGGCTCAGTCGCCCCACTGTTCTGAGAAGTCGTCACGCGTGCAGAGCACAGAACGGGGGGGTCGGCCGCCGCTCTAAAATCCGCAGTCCCTGCTAAAAATACCGCGCAACCTGCTCCAGCCCGCAGCTGTCCCCGTTCGTCAGTCCCACGCAAACGCGCGGAGCGCCGCGGGAGGGCCTCGCAGATTCGCGCGCAGATGGCTTCCGTGCAGGTGGGCGAGGGGCCCCCACGCGCGGGGTGCCCGGCGAACGCGGGTGCGGCTGGGTCCAGACGCGAGGGGCCTCCGGGGGCCGTGGCCCGCTCACCCGGCGCCAAAGCACGCTCTGCGCGTGAAGGGCACGAAGCCGCGCGCTCTGCGGGTGTCGCTGCAGCCAGGACTCGCTCAGTGGGTGGCAGGAAGGGAGGTGTGTTCTCGCGGCACCCGGCACGCGCGCGCGCACCCGCTCCCCGTTGCAGCCTCGCCTGCCTCTCCCGCACCCAGCGCAAAGTTCTTTAGCGCTGCAATTAGGCGGCAGGGTGAGTCATCGGCGCCCGGCCTCAGGCTGCGGCGACACAGACCGCGTGGAAGGGACCGCGCGCAGGCGCCGCCGCTCCGCCCGGGGGGACCGCAGAAGGCCTGTCAGAGACGCCCCCTGCCCGCGCCCCCTTGCAGCGAGAGGACGGAGGGCCCAGCGAGGCCTGGGGCGACCGTGTTCCCCGCTCCACGCCCCCCTCTCACCCTCCTGGAGTTCTCGAGTCGGAATGGGGCGATCTGCACCCCGCAGCTGCACTCAGGCCGTGAACCGCCTTCCAGTGAATTAACTCAGCTCCCGCACCTAGGGGGCCACGCACCCGGGAGAGAGGCTGAGCCCGGGTCCGGCCCGAGGCTTTGCCTCGACCGCCTTCCCCACCCCCACGCACGCGGGCCTGCCTTCCCAGGGTGCGCCGGGGGGCCCGGCACCCGAGCTCCTCCTCCCACACC